CTCAGCTCTTTCTCTTCATCTGCAACTTTTTACATTATTTGCTACAACATGGTATATCCCACAATTTGGTGGCATCAGCAGCAAATGTATATATTGTTCTTTTACTTTCTTTAGATTTGATGAACATAGTCATTAAACAAGAGTGTTCATTCTGTTTTGTTGCAGAAATTACATGCTACCTAAGCCAAGTATTAGTACACAGCTTTTGACCTGGACCTATTGCAAGTTGTGATAAAAGGCAGAAACAAAATTTGGCTAGATCACAAGCTTATCTGTTAGCTGCACTCGATATCCATTTAAGCAAGACAGATTAACTCTGATTAGTCAAGGCATTGTTCTGAGAAATGACCAGAGAATGGCTGTCATCCATTTTGTTGTGTTGAAACAAGTACATTCCTTTTTGACCACTTGACAAAGCACTCCATAAAAAGCTGGTTAAAACAATGAGATTTAATGGATAGAAGAATCATTGTCAACTTTGATTAAAAAACATTGTGATTGCACTGTTCTAATGTGTCTGCAGAGACAGAGACACTGAGCAGTAAATCTTTGGAAATGGTAGGACAGATTGAGAGGGTAAACAACAAAGCATATAAACCATGCCAGGGAAGAGAGATGTCAAAGATCGTGTACAATTCATCACCAGATAAAATTTGGGAACTGAACCTCCGGTTGAAGATGGCGGCGGAGTAGGGCTCCTATGCTGGTGCTCATTCGCTCTGACCGCTTTTCTTTCTCTTTCTTTTTCCATCTTTTTTTCTTTTTTTCTATCTCTTTTTCTTGATTAATTACTTACCTTGTACTGAACTTGGAAAGCATCAGCAACAGTGAGAGCCCAGTGCACGGATCTCAAGTGGCCCCGGGACGTGGGCCTCGAGCGGGCCCACCTTGGCAGAGAGTAGGCCCAGTGCGGAACTCAAGTGAAGCCCCTACTTACTTTTCCGGACCAAGCACAGGACCTGGAATCGGTGGCTGCTGCATCAGCAGAGGTGATGTCACCGAGATAGGCTCCAGCAGCAAAAGATGGCACCTGAGGATCAGCGGTTTTGTTGTTGGTTGGGTCTGGTGCTGGCGGTGGAGAAGTGGCGGTGGGAAAGCGACACGGCAACATCGATGAGGTGGACCCAGCGGCGAGAGATGCAACTCTGATGTTGGTTGGTCCGGCTCAGGCTGTGATGAGGTGGTGGCGGAGGAGTATTGGCCCATCAAAAAAGATGGCACCTGAGGATCGGCAACTTAGATGTTGGTTAGGGTGTAGATGGTGGTGAAGCAGTGGTGGAAGGATGACAGTGCGGGTGGCATTGATGGTGATGAGTCAGGACTGATAGACTCTCTTGTTATTATTCAAAATGGCACCGTTTTGTGGTGGCAAATGAAAGCTTTTCACTGTATTTTATTGTATTCCCACTGTAAAATACACTGATAGTAAAAGATCAAAATCAAAACCATGAATGCATGATGCCACCACATGCTGTCAGTGTTCTACCAACGGGTAGGACAGTGCTTCTCCTTTCTCCTGGACAGTGGTCTTCCCTTACTCATTGACTTTCCCTTCCTTATGATGTCGTCATTTCACCCTGCCATAGCGACTGTCACCTCAGTTCCAATTATACCGCCATCACAAACATTGCTGTAAAAACAAGCTGCTGCAAGAGCGAAATAGCAAATACTTATCCTGAAGCTCAGGTGCATGCCTCTTACATGCAGTCAAATACCTAACCGCATGCGTTTCTAAATTGGGAAGGAACACATCACTGCAGTGTGCTAACTTCTTAATGAGGTGCAAATACATGCAAACAGCCTTCCTGACTATTGGCATTTGGAAGGTCAACCAGCCTTTCAAGTCTGGATAACATAATTTCAAGGTTCATCCCACCATTGGGATTCTGAATTTTGGCCTCCCAAGAATTAAGATCACTTACTCACCTTTCATCTCAACACTTTTATAACTGGAAGTTTTGTCCCTTTATCACAACGGCAGGCACCAAAGGTCATCACAATGAGATAGTCTCATGAGAACATGTCTATAGGTCATTGGTGTGAAAAATTATTCTGCCAGAATAATGTAGAGTGATTATAGAGTCTTAGAGTATTATAGCATGGAAAGTTACCCTTTAGCCCACTGTGTCTAAACTGGTCATTAGCAGCTATCTACTCAATCCCATTTCACCGTTCTTGGCCCACAGTTCTTGTTTGCTAACATGGTTCTAAGTGTTTGTGTATCTACTACTTAAATGTTGTGATGGTTGTCAGTAGGCAAGGAAATGAAAGGTTATTGGGATAGTTGGAACTGTGGAATTAAGAAAACAAACAGATCAGGCATGACCATATTTAATGGTGGAACAGACTCAGGTGGTTGAATAGTTTGAATCTGGTAAGTATGTTGTATGTTGGTATGTGCAAGATTATGGGGAATAGCAGGACATTAGCAATAAATCATAATGCTCAGAAAATCCATGCAAACATGATTGACCAAATTGCCTCCATTGTAACAATTCTGTGATTCTGTAGTAAATAAATTCTTCAGATAAAGGCTAATATTCCATGAGATAACAAGGTGTAGAGCTGGATGAGCACAGCAGGCCAAGCAGCATCAGAGGAGCAGAGGACTCCATCCCTGCCTCTTTGACCTGTCTGTCTCCTCTCCACCTATCTTCTCCTCTATCCATCTTCTATCCGCCTCCCCCTCTCTCCCTATTCAGAACCCCCTTCCCCTCCCCTATTTCTGAAGAAGGGTCTAGGCCCGAAACGTCAGCCTTCCTGCTCCTCTGGTGCTGCTTGGCCTGCTGTGTTCATCCAGCTCTACACCTTGTTATCTCAGATTCTCCAGCATCTGCAGTTCCTCTGCTATCTCTGCTAATATTCCATTATCTTTTTGATTGCTTCTTTTGGTTGTGTACTTATTTAAATTGGTTTATGTCCTCGGAGTTGAAACCTCTTTACTTTATCCTTGTGATTAGTTTCCTACCAGTTAGAAAACACCAACAGCTCAGTCAAATAAATAGGTTTCAAGGACAGCCTTGTAAGACAAAGCAGAGTTCAGAAAGGAAAGTCCATAGTGTTTTCAGTAGATAAGGGCAACAGTGGAAGAGTGAAGGAATGTGAAGGAATGCGCAAAACATTCGCTCTAAACTGTGTTACCATGCAGCAGGCAGAACGTACCCATGCAGATTGGATAAAAATTGGTGACTTTAAATATATGCCATGCAAAACAAAACATGGGGTTTGTGTATTTAAATAAATCAAATTCCCACTTCAAAGCACTCTTAGAGGTGCGTTAGGGAGGAATGATACACAGGAGGCCTCACTTGTTGTAGTGGAGAGGTTGGAGGATGAAAGAGTTAGTGTCGGAAGCTGTAATAGAGATGAGTTGATTTAAATAGGCGTATTCATACATTAAGTAAGGGGAATTGGAGCCAATGTAGGTCAAAGGGTGATGGATGAATGAAACAGTGGAGATAGAACAGTATAGTTTTAGGTGAGCAAATGTCCAGGGTGAGTGATGATGGCAGAATGGCCAGGAGGATACTGGAATAGCAAAATCTGAAAATGGCAAAAACATGAGTGGGAGTTTTGCAGCCAACATGCTGAAGCTTATCTGCACGTGTAGGAGTAGATGGTTTTTGTAATAGAGAGGATATGAATTCAGAAACTCAGCTTGGGTGGAACAGAAAACATCTGTTATATTTATATGACATGTTTCACAATATCTGGACGCTCTGAGGCACTTGACAGCCAATTAAACACACTTGAAGCTGAGTCATTCTTACAATAAAGGGAAAAGCAGTATCCAGTTTGCACATAGCAAGGCCTCATAAACAGCAATGAAATAAATATCCAGAAGATTTTATTTTGGAATTAATGTTGGTTGAGAGACAATTATTAGCAATGGCACTTGCAAACCTCCTCTTTACTTAGATAGTGACATAGAATTTTTACAGACATTGTAGAAAACAGCTGGGCTGTGATTTACCAGCTTATCCTCATGACAGCACCTCCTATTGTGCAACTCTTCCTCAGTACTGTTGTAAAGTGTCAGTCCAAATTATATGCTGGAGTTCTGGAGTGAAAGTTGAACCCACAACTTTCTTAGCTCGACAAGAATGTTACAATTAAACCAAGAGACAAACAGCACAGAGGTGGTGGAAGGCTTGAGAGAGGTAACAGAAATATAGGGTAAACAAACAGGAGGCTGGAAGAACACAGCAAACCAGGCAGCATCTGGAGGAAAGGAGCAGTCAATGTTTTGGGTATTACTGTTCTTCAGGACTTGATGTGGGAGTGGGGAGAGCTGCAGATAAAGCGGGATGGGGGGGGAGTGGAATGGTGGTGATAGGTAGTTGGTTGATGGGAGGGATGAATCTGATTGGTGGCTGGAGGGGAGGGTGGGTGGAATGGAAGGGAGGAGGTGGGGCTGGAAAGGGAGCCAAGGGATGAGTGGGAAGGTCATTTGAAATTAGAGAACTGAATGGTGAGTCCTCTGGGCTGTAGGGTCCTAGGCAGAAGATAAGGTGTTGCATTCTGAGTCGCTGCGACACTGGAAGCGGCCGCGGATGGACACATCGGTGGGTGGGTGGGGTGTTGAAATGGGCAGTGACTGGGAGGTTAAGCTGGCCATTATGGACCAAGGGAAGATGCTCAGCGAAGCGGTTGCCCTAGTCCAAGTTTGGTCTCACCCATGTAGAGAAGACCACATCGGGAGCACCGGAGGCAGTAGACTAGGTTGGAGAAGATGCAGGTGAAAAGCTCTGTCTCACCTGGAATGACTGTTTACGGCCCTGGATGGAGGTGAGAGAGGTGGTGTGTGGGTAGGTGTTGCATCTTTTACAGTTACAGGGGAAGGTACCAGGTGGGTCAGAGTGGTTGGTGGGGAATGTGACATGAACTAAGGAGTGGTGAAGGGAATGGTCCTTGTGCAATGGACAATGGAATGGTCCTCACTGTGTTATGATGCAGTTGATTTTAACAGCCTAATAATTGTTTCTTCATCTTAATTGCAGGTGGAATGCAAAATATTATGCTTCATACATTTAGTCTGGCCCGTTATACATACATAATACTCTCTGGAATGCGCCATGCTAATGGAACACCAGTTGCTCGGATTTACAGTGATAACGAATTTGAAACTCCAGATGCGCAAGGACCTATTATTAATCTGAATTTGCTTGATGAGGAAGGTGGGATTGTTGGATTTGCCAAGGTATGACGTAATCTTGTCATCATCTCATAGTTTCTGCTAAGAGTCATTAATAACATTGGTAGCATTTATACATGCTTTCTAAGAATTGTTTCAAATGTATTTTTTCATGTATTGTGGTCATTGGTCACAGTTGGCCAGCATTTTTCCCATCCCTAGTTGCCCCGACATAGATGGTGGTGAGCCATCTTTTTGGCCTAGTGCATCCAAGTGGCATAAATACTGGTTTAGTGCTATAAAGAAGGCAGCTCCAAAATCTTAATTCAGTGACAGTGAAGAAACTTTATATATAATTATAACATAGTTTCAAATCGGGTTGGTATGTGGCTTGGAAGGGAACTTGCTGGCAGTGGTGTTCCCGTAGATCTACTGCCTTTGTCCTTCTAGGTGGTAGAGGTCATTGGTTTAGAAGGTGCAGTCATCGGAGAGAATTCCTGCAGTGCATTTCCTAGATGGTACACACAGATGCCACTACAGTCAGTGGTAGATGGAGTGAGTGCTGAACATAGTGGATATGGTGTCCATTAAATCAAGCTGTTCCAGTGTTTTGCAAAGAACAAAGGACAGTACAACAAAGGAACAGACCCTTTGGCCCACTAAGCCTGCATGACACATGACACCTTTCTAAACTAAAACCCTTTTGCCTCCATGTGATCCATGTCCCTCCCTCCCTGGCCTACTCGTGTATCTGTCAGGATGCCTCTTAAACATTATCATTGTATCTGCTTCTACCACCTTTTCTGGCATTGCATTTGAGACACTTACTACTCTCTGTGTAAAAAGCTTGCCTCTCATATTTCCTTTAAACATTCCCCCTTTTACCTTAAACCTAGTAATTAACATTTCTACCCTGGGAAAAAGAAACCTCAGACAATCCATTCTAACCATGCCTCTTATAATTTTGTAAACTTCTATCAAGTTGCCCCTCAGCAAGATGTTCAAGTGAAAACAAGCCAAGGTTGTCCAATCTGTCCTCATAGATAATACCCTCCAGGCCAGTCAACATTCTGTAAACTTTTTATGTACTTTCCCAAAGCTTCCTCATCCTTCTGGTAATGAGGCAACAACAACTGTATGCAATATTCCACACAATGCCCAACTAAAGTTCTATATAGCTCCAACATTACTTGCCAATATTTTTATACTATATGCCCCTATTGATGAAGGCAAGCATGCCATACACCTTCATGACAACTTTATCCACTCATGTTGCCACTTTCAGGGAACTGTGAACTTGTATGGCTAGACCTCTCTGTATGTTAATGCTTTTAAGGGTTCTGCCATTTACTGTATAATTATTGTAGAAGTTGCACTCATCTGAACACATGATGAGTATTCTGTCACACGCTCAACTTGTAACTTGTTGATGGTGGATCCCTTTGGGGAGTCGGAGTGAAGTATTCACTACTGAATGCTGACCCTTTGATTTGCTGCTGAATCTACAGTATTTAAATGGTTAATTCAATCAATTTCAGGTCAAGGATAACTCCCAGGATGTTGATAGTGGGGTATTCAGCAATGGTAATATTATTGATAGTCAAGGGAAGATATTTTGATACTCTGAAATATAAGCTGTTTTTGTCTAGCACTTATTTGGTACAAATATTACTTGTCACACATCAGATCAACCCTGCATGGTGTCCTGCTTGATGTGTATGGAAAGGGACTGTTTCAGTATCTGAGGAGTTATGGATGGTGCTGAACATTATGCACACATTGGTGAACATTCCCACTTCGCACCTTTCAATGGAGGGATGGTAATTGATAAAGGATGTAAATATGCTTAGACCTTGTATAGTGCTGTGAGGAACTCCTACAGCGCTGTACTGGGACCAAGGTGATTGGTTTCTAACAATCATAACCATCTTCCATTGTGTAGGTATGACTCATAGAATCCCTACAGTGTGGGAGCAGGCCCATCAAGTGCACACTGACCTTCCGAAGAACGTCCCACCCAGAACAACTCCCCCTACCCCATCCCTGTAACCCTGCATTTCCCATGGCTAATCCACCTAGCCTGCACCTCCCTGGATACTACAGGCAATTTAGCATGGCCAAACCTCCTAACCTGCACATCTTTGGACATGGGAGAATGTACAAACTCCACACAGATGGTCATCCAAGGGTGGGATTTAACCCAGGTCCTGGCATTGTGAGGCTGCAGTGTTAACTGTTGAGCCACTGTGCTGCTCAATCAGTGGTATTTTTTTCCCCTTGATTCCCATTGACTTCAGTTTTTCTAGGTATCTTTGATGTCATACATGGTCAAATGGTGACTTGATGTCAAGGGCAAACACTTTCACCTCATCTCTTGAATTCAGCTTTTAATTTTTATGTTTGAATCAAAACTGTAATGGAGGTCAGGGGCTGAGTCGCCAAGTTGGAAATTAAAGTGGCTGTCAGCAAGCAGGTTATTGATAAATGTTCATTTATTAGCACTGTCAATGACCCTTCTGTCACTTTGCTAATTATTAGTAGTAGATTGATGGAATAATTGGCCAGGTTTAATTTGACTTGCTTTTAGTGGCCAGAACATAAACAAGCAATTTTCTAGATTTAAAGTTTTTGAGAAGATTTGTAGCTCGATTTGTGGATGAGGTTGTAGACTTGCTCACTGATCCAGTGTGCTTGGTTGCAGATGTTTCGTCACCCTGCTCGGTAACATCATCAGTGCACCTCCAGTGAAGCATTGGTGTTCTGTCCGCTTGTTATTTATATGCCTCAGTTTGCTGGGGTGGTTGACATCACTTCTGGTTCTGTTTTTCAATAGTTTGTACATAGGGTCTAGTTCAATGTGTTTGTTGACGGAGCTCTGTTTTTCTTGCTGACATCTCTTGAGTTGTGTAATTTCTTCAGGGTTGTTGTCATCCAGTTCTCTAACTGTGTTATTGGGTCTATCGCCATCTGTTGGTAGGTGTCGGTATCTGCTAGTGGTGTGTTAGCTTTCTCAATGTGTTGGGCT